GATCAATTCCTGGGACATCACTTCATCCCAAAATTATCCATTCCCAGGACATCAGTTCATCCCAAAATGATCAATTCCTGGGACATCACTGCATGCCAAAATGATCAATTCCTGGGACATCACTTCATCCCAAAATTATCCATTCCTGGGACATCAGTTCATCCCAAAATGATCAATTCCTGGGACATCACTGCATGCCAAAATGATCAATTCCTGGCACATCGGTGCACATCAGCAATCAGTTCCTGGAACATTACTGTATGCATAAATGGTCAGTTCCTGGAAAATCCCTGCATCGTGCATTATCAATCCCGCATCAGAGAGCCCCACATCTGAGAACACCAAACACAGCCTTCCAAGTATCCGAATTCATTGGAAAGTACCCTGCATAGAGGGATAGGGGCATCAGCAGGGCATGTGGGTCTCAACAGGGATTGTTCGGAATTTGGGGGTGTTGACCTGGGTGAGGTCCTAGGGCTACGACCTGCTTAGTTAAGGACAACCTGTTGTAAGACAAATGGCTCAGGGAGGTTATTGCCCTCCTCGTGATGGCCTTGGAGACCCTGGACGTTGGTAGCAGAGACGACCGTGGGGGGACTCTGGGCAGGTGCACGGACATTGGGTTCTCCCCACCCCGGGGCCGCAGTGCTGGACTCATCAGTCTCAGCCTTTGCAGGGTGCACACGGTCCGCTATTCGGGCACACATGCTGAAGGACAAACACAGCCTCGTCTCCCAAAGGCTGAACGTATCCTACTCATTGAGTTTCCATGGTGGGCAATGGGGTGATAATGTCCCCAAGGAAATGTGAGGTAACTGTGGAGCCGGGGGGAGGATATGCCAACTTGGATCTCTGTTCGATTCGAGTTGTGCCGTCAGATCCCAGCGCAAACTCACCGACCCAGACTCTGAGGATCGGACGATAATGATGCTCTGGGCAAAGAAGTTCAAGGTTAGTCCAGAAATCCTACCCGGTTATCGGAGTGAATCCCTGGGGTAAACAGCCTCCTTGGGGAAAGCGTGCTTTCGCAAGAGTGGCGAGGACGCCGTGGCCGCGAACACATTTGGCCAGCGCCTGGAAATGTCCAATCCATCCTGGGGCTCGCAGAAGCGCAGTCGGGGGGGGGGGGCGGTGCCTGCACCCCAGAGGCTGTGCCCGAAGCCGTGTGGGGTCCCCTGCGCATTCCTAACGAGAATCTCCTCCTTCATCCATATTCTAAAGGAAAATATGCTGGAGACCTCCCCACAGCACAGCTTGGCCCATCTCAGATGCTAACACTTACGGCATGTCTCCTACGTGCCCAGGGAGAAATGTTTTTTAATGTCTGTTTCTGAGATTGAGTGGGGGAGGGGCAGAAAGAGAGGGAGACAGAATCCGAAGCAGGTTCCAGGCTCCAAGCTGTCCACCCAGAGCCCGACGTGGGGCTCGAACTCATGGACCGCGATATTGCCACCTGAGTCAAAGTCGGACGTTCAGCCGACCGAGCCCCCCAGACGCCCCTCTTTTTAGGGATTGTTGACGTTGGGAAATGCATCCATCAGAGATACGGGAAGGAGTCCTACGAGGATAAAACATCACCCCGTGCAGCCATTTCAAACCTACCCAGGCACAGGTGCGGAGATGGGAGAAAGGATAAATAAAATTTTGACGGGAATAAACTATGAATGCTGAGCCGTCTCCGCAGATGTCCTATTGATCCTTCTTGTGTGAGATAAATCGTCAGCATGGGTCCCGAGCCTCCAGAAAGAGGCAGTCTGGGTCTATTTTCATCCCGGCTGCAAATGCAAACACAATTTCCCGCCTGAAGTACTTAACATTTGCAACATCTCGATCGCTCCGATGTGGAAGAATTTAAGATAAAGTTAACAAAACAAAACAAAACAAAACAACAGACGGGTACCTGGCTGGCTCAGTCAGTTAAGTGTCTGATTCTTGATCTCAGCTCAGGTCTTGATCTCAAGGTTGTGAGTTCAAGACCTGCATTGCGCTCCGTGCTGGGCATAAAGGCTATTTAAAAAAAAAAATTAGGGGCGCCTGGGTGGTGCAGTCGGTTAAGCGTCCGACTTCAGCCAGGTCACGATCTCGCGGTCCGTGAGTTCGAGCCCCGCGTCGGGCTCTGGCCTGATGGCTCAGAGCCTGGAGCCTGTTTCCGATTCTGTGTCTCCCTCTCTCTCTGCCCCTCCCCCGTTCATGCTCTGTCTCTCTCTGTCCCCAAAATAAATAAACGTTGAAGAAAAAAATTCTTTAAAAAAAAAATTAAAAAGAAAAGAAAGGCAGAAATTGTAGCTTCCCTCGGCCCCTGGGAGGTCCCTTCATGGAACACAGCTGGGGCTGGTTCCAGGAGGCAGGTGCTTGGATAATAGGATGTGGGTCCTCTGATCCCACATCCTTGGAAACAGTCAGCTCGGGGGTAAGACGCACTGTCCCAGAGGAGGGTCCTGGGCGAAAGGTTTTGGGAAATTCTGCAGACCCTCTAGGACCCTAAGGAAGCCATGGCCAGGGTCCTGCTGGGAGAAGCTCCAAGTTGGAAAAACGTGTGTGCGCCCGTTGACCCCGGGGCCCCCCCAAACCCTCATAAATAATCCCGCCTCACAATTCACATGGGACACGGCTCGGCTGAATGCGCGTGCCCACAGACCACGGCACGAGGCCCATGGGAAACGCCCTCCCTTCCTGCAAGTCAAGGCCAGTCTGAGCCGAGCCCCCATCCTGGGTCCCCGGGATGCCGCTCCTGGAGCCAGAGATGTTCTGCACAGGTCACAGGTGGGATGCGGGCTTTCCTGTCGTGCACACGACTGTGCTGTCATCGAGGAGGGGGGTCTCCTACGGTGACACGTCTGGCACAATAATGACTCTCCAGCGACTGAGTCCTCTGCTAGAGAATGGATTGCACGAGGTCAGGACTTGCACACCACTGGGCCCTTCCTGCCGGGGAAGCACCAAGCTCCTGGGAGGTGGCTGCAGGGAGCTGAGGGACGACCCCGCCCAGACATGTCCATGATGGGATCCCCATGTGGTGGACGGACCCATGTCCCCAGACACGTCCACGACCCGAACCCCACGTGGCGGACAGACTCATGTCCCCAGACACGTCCACGACCGGACAGTCCACGTGGCGGACAGACTGACGTCCTCAGACACGTCCCCAACCCGATCCCCACGTGGTGGACGGACTCACGTCCCCAGACACGTCCCTGACCCGATCCCCATATGGTAGACGGACTGACGTCCCCAGACACGTCCCCGACCTGATCCCCACGTGGCGGACAGACTGACGTCCCCAGACACGTCTCCGACCCGATCCCCACGTGGTGGATGGACTGACGTCCCCAGACACGTCTCTGACCCGATCCCCACGTGGTGGACAGACTGACGTCCCCAGACACGTCCGCGACCCGACCCCACGTTTGGGACAGACTGATGTCCCTATAGACATTCATTTCCTGACTTCTCTGAGCCTGTGAATATGTGCCCTTATGTGGATAAAGGGACTTTGCAGATGGGGGTGGTTCAGATCCCTGAGATGGGGGTGGTCCTGGATGGCCCCAGTGGTGCAAGGTCTCCACAAGGGTGTTCCCAGGAGGGAGGCGGGAGGCTCAGGGTCGGAGAAGGTGATGTACACACAGAGCAAACATCACGAAGAGACAGAGGGAGGCTGGGGGTTATACCCTCCACCCCAATGGCTTTGAGAATGAGAGGACGCGTCGCGAGTCCAGGAATGCCACCAGCCTCTAGAAGCTCAAAAAGGCAAATCAGTTCAAGAGAAATCAAGGCATGGAAGGAAAACCGAGGGATTGTCCCTTGGGGCCAGTGGCACGTGGGGTCAGGGATTGCACACTGGGCGCGTGGCACCTCTGTGTGGCTGGGGCGTGCTGCAGCGATGGGGGTCCCGGGCACGGAGGAAGGCGTGTGCGGAGGACAAGTTTGGGCTGACGTGAAGCCAACGTGTGGACGGGATTCCCTACAGACAGAAGACGGACGGGGCAAACAGAAAGCCCGTATTTCCTGTTTACAGGGAAAGGACTGATTTGTGCCAATAAACGTCAGGTGCGCTGTGAGGGAAACCTTGAACGGTATCGGGAAAGGTCCGTGGAGAAGAAAGAAAGATCAATACCGTTCTGAGCCTTCCAGAGAGAACCAGCAGCACTAACAACACCCACAGCGGGTTTGTTCCTGGGGGAAGGAGGTGGATGTGGCGTTAGCTATAACCGTGTGGCACCCGCACATCACCGCCATATGGCCACACAACCGAATGCATTAAAGAGACGGTTGGAGTCGGATCTTCTGAGTCGCAGGCTCTCCGTCTTCCCCTTCAGGGAGTGTTTCCAATCAAACAGGTGCATCGGGCGTCACAATGTCTCTCTCTCTGTAGCCTGCCCTGCCCACGAATGCCATTCACGCCACAGAAGACGGTGAAACGCGGTAAGACAAAAAGAACACACAGACAGCAGATGCATCCTGGGAGCCGGGTTACCACATGGATGCGGGTGGCACAGCCTCAGGACGTGGATTTACCCTCTCCACTCCGTCCACATGATGCCCACATCGTCAGCCATGTGATTCCTTACCACGGTCCCTTCCATGCCCAATGACTTTGGAGAACAGACTCACTTACGTCTCTGTCGGTGGATAAATTAGCCTCGACGATCCAGGTGGGCTCTTGAACCACAAGACTCCCAGAGTAACATTCTCCCTGCCATCCAACAGATGACTAGTGTTTTTTAAAAATTTTTTCTAATTAACAAAATTGTTCTGAGAAGGAGAACACGTCCAGGGGAGGGGCAGGGAGAGAGGGACCGAAAGAACCCCAAGCAGGTTCCCTGATGTCAACGCACAGCCCCGCGAGGGGCCGTAACTCATAACCGTGAGCTCATGACCTGAGCCAAAGTCAAGAGTTGTAGCAGCAGTTTCCACAATAGCCCAATTATGGAAAGAGCCTAAATGTCCAACAAGCGATGAATGGATAAAGAAGATGTGGTTTATAAATTCAATGGAATGCTACTTGGCAATGAGAAAGAATGGAATCTTGCCATTTGCAGCAACGTGGATGGAACTGGAGGAGATTATGCTACGTGAAATAAGTCAGTCAGAGAAAGACGGATATCGTATGTTTTCACTCATAGGTGGATCTTGAGAAACTTAACAGAAGACCATGGGGGAGGAGAAGGGGGAAAAAAGTTACAGAGGGGGAAGGAGGCAAACCATAAGAGACTCTTAAATACTGAGAACAAACTGAGGGTTGATGGAGGGTGGGGGAGAGGGGAAAGTGGGTGAAGGGCACTGAGGAGGGCACCTGTTGGGATGAGCACTGGGTGTTGTATGGAAGCCAATCTGACAATAAATTATATTAAAAAAAAAAAGAGTTGGCGGCTTGACCAACTGAGCCACCCAGGCTCCCCCACCCCCGCAACAGATGAATAGTTTAGCAAATATTTTATACGTTTTGGAAAGAAGGTACAGTGGTTGTAGCTCAATGACTTACGGTCATTGTTTTTGCCATATTAATACTATCATTTATCTCCTCTACAGTCGACCAGTTGGCCTCCAAGTCTGAAAGCGAGCTGGGACGTTCTTCCGGTAATGCGTGTTTTTCCGATAGTTTTGGTGCTCTATGTGGATTCAGTTTGGACACGTGAATGGCGCTGCCTCCTCACCGTGGAGGGTTTGGATGAATCTGTAGGACATCTGTCAAGTGTAGCGTGGGAAGACAGGAATGGCTCAGCTCCATGCTGAGAAACCCAGACGTGGCCACGATGCTCTTAAGAGCGGGGCTGAAAGGAGGGGTCCAGGTCAAGGCTAGTTTGTGTTGAAGACGGACAGGTGGGAGGGTGGAAGGGAGGGTAAGGGGACACACAGACCCTGTGTGTCTGTGTGATGAATGTTGGCTTCAGGGAAGAAGTCAAGAGACAGCTGTGCATGGAGCCTACATACTGATGACGCCCCCTGGGGACACGCTCAATATTTAATAAGGGAACGTGTGAACACGCCCCCCTCTTACACGTTCATAACACACCTTACTTAGCTCATGTGGGCCAACCAAAATATCGACCCCGCACACCGTATCATCAGGCTTACCATCACTGCAAATTGATTATGCCAATGACAATAGCCAAACGCGTCAACGAGGCAAAGCGTCATGACAACACCACGTATAGTCATGAATTTCCACGCAAGTCCTTCCTTCCCAAAGGACTTCTCTCGCGGGATGGCCACTGTGCACGTCTGTGTCGGAGTTAATGTCTGCATTTCACCAGGACTCACCGTTATTGACCAGGACATGGAGAGGGATTTTCTTCTTCTTGAACTTCTGGACGAATTGCCTGATGGACGTCAGGGAAGCCAGATCACAGTATAAAAACTCCACTGCAAAAGGAAAGAGATGGGGGATTATCTTCCGACCTACTCCAGGAGCTGATATGGCTTTTAAATAAGTTCGATTCCATCCCACCTGCGGAGGGACACTGGGTTTTAAAGACGAAGGTGGGGGGCGCCTGGGTGGCGCAGTCGGTTGAGCGTCTGACTTCAGCCAGGTCACGATCTCACGGTCCGGGAGTTCGAGCCCCGCGTCAGGCTCTGGGCTGATGGCTCAGAGCCTGGAGCCTGTTTCCGATTCTGTGTCTCCCTCTCTCTCTGCCCCTCCCCCGTTCATGCTCTGTCTCTCTCTGTCCCAAAAATAAATAAACGTTGAAAAAAAAAAATTTTAAAGACGAAGGTGGGATTCAGGGATCATAGCCTAGGAAGACCCTCCATGCCTCATGCCCTTGACAATCCCCCATCGTTGCGTGTAGACGGCACCTGTGAGTTGCTTATAAATCAACAAAATAAGGCATTTCCTTAGGGAAGTAGGGGAGAGAGTCTTCCACTGGTCTTCAAGAACTCAGCCGCCATGTTGAGAGGGGCCACGGGGCAAGATGCTTCTGGCAGCTTCCAGGGACTGACAGCAGCCTCTGGCCAACAGGCAGCAGGAAAGCCAGAGCCTCGGACCTACAAACTCAAGGAACTACCAACAACCCCATGAGCTTAGAGGACATCCTGAGCTCCAGAGGGGCGCTCAGAGCACGCAGCCCTTTGGAGCTGCCATCACTTTGCTGGGTCATCGTGCGGCACGATGGTCCTTGGACGGCGACATCGCTGTGGGTCTCTGGGACCGGTTCCTGGGAACGTGCTTGCTCGGACACGTGTGGTTGCAAGAAGACAGAACACAGGGAAGCATCGCTCCCGCCAGCCACGAGCACTAGCAAATGGGAGTAGGGGTGGGGTGGGCACGCTTCCGGATCAAAGCCCTTCCAGGGGAGGTCTACACACGGGTGCCATCCTGGGAACCGTTTGTTACCGGGTCTGCCGTAAGGCACACCGCGACACCAACAACAGCATTTAGAAAACGAAATAATTGAAGTTCCCATTTTGCCTGGTTGTAACTCTTATTTTTCTCGTAATTCGCGTCTGTCCTATCTACATCGCTATGAATCCGTGACAGCTTTGGGAAAAGGGAGTTTTGCCACAGACAGTTCGGAAGTGCTGTTCTAGAACACAGCACCATCTGGCTAGGCATTCCTGACACACCGCTCTAATTTTCCGCTAACATATTCACGAGGATATATTTTTTTTAAAAGGGGGAAGCCCCTACTGCTTCCGATAACGGGAACCGACGATAACAGGGTTGGTAGACAGACACGCTCATCTTCCAGAAGCAGAGCAACGATACGAATCTTGGCAAAGTCAGAAGATGCTTCCTCCCCACTCCCGGGAGAAGAGGGTTCCTAACCAGCGGCAAACGTGAGCGCCCCCTTTCCGCCGCGAGAACGTTGCCTCGTGAGGTGCCCCAAGGATCGAGTGGGGGATCATGGGGGCTGCCGCTGTGCAGAGAACGTGAGCCCCCAAATCAAGCCCCCACAGCTGCAGAGGGCAGGGCAGTCCCTGCGGACCAGAAGTCGCCACAGGGTCGATCCCTGATGGTGACAACGTGCCAGGCAATTTGCAGGGCGTGGGCTTCTGGAAGAGGAGAAGCCCCAGGGATGAGCTCAGGCAAGATCGGGGAATCGCACTGCTGGACGCTGAGCTGGTACGTTCACCTAAAATGTGCATCCTCTGCCCCCGCCCCCCGCAAGGTGCACTGGGAGATGGGGCGGGGGTCATTGATCCAGCAGGGCTCGGGGGTGGGAGAAGGACACACGGGTGGCATTTTCCATTTTGCCTGGAACGCCATCAGTGATGCCTTCCATTTCTTTCTTTACATTTATTTATTTTGAGGGAGAGAGAGGGGGAGCGTGAGTGGGGAAGGGTTAGAGAGAGGGAGAGGGACGTGGGACTCCATGACACCCACCGTGAGATCACGACCTGAGCTGAAATCGAGTCAGATGCTTAAGCGACTGAGCCACCCAGGCGCCCCCGACACGTTCCATTTCTGTTTGGGTAATGAGAGACGTGGAAGCTGCCACGTCTCCAGACTCTTCACTGTACCCCAGGGGACAAGAAGTAGCCTGTGTGCCCAAACAGATGACGAGAAAACACGAGGTATACCAGTCGTCCACGTAGGCAAAACGGAAGATCCAGAAAAGCCCTGGAAGGAGGCGTGAGCCTTTAGCTGGCGCTGGTCCTGATTCAAAACCAATATGGTGGCCTCCCACCGGGGTGGGGAGCGGGGGGAGAAAAGAGGTGAATTCTTGAATTCTTCTATACACTGATGATGGTTTTGAAAAGTGAGGATTGGGAATAAAAAGGCCAAACATTATCAAGCCGACAAGCAAACACAAGCCCCATTCCTACAAGGTAGGGATAACTCAAGACCAAAGTATCAATGGCCAATGGCAGCCTTAGCTGTGGACCCCATGCTCAATCAAACACAAGCCCCATCCCTACAAGGTAGGGATAACTCAAGACCAAAGTATCAATGGGGCCAAGGGCAGCCTTGGCTGTGGACCCCATGCTCAATCAAACACAAGCCCATTCCTACAAGGTAAGGATAACTCAAGACCAAAGTATCAACGGGGCCAAGGGCAGCCTTAGCTGTGGACCCCATGCTCAACCAAACACAAGCCC